GAGGGGCGGCGTCAGGCCGGGGGGGGGCCCCCGTCCCCCTCCCGGGTCGCCGAAGCCGGGCGGGCCTGGCCCAGGAGGAGGGATGCGCGTGTACCCCAGCCGAGCCCCACCCCCGGGGCCGGGCACAGCGCCCCAGGAATGCGCCCGGGCTCCCAGCCCAAGCAGACGGGGCTTGCTTCTGGCGGGGCCCCGGACCGCGCGCCGCTTCTTACCGCTCACAACTCAGCCTGTCCTCGGAGCACAGGAGGGCCTCGCCCAGCATCTGCAGCTGCTGCAAGACCTCCTGCTGCATGGCCAGGGCCATGCGGTGCACGTGGTGGTCGGAGCTGTTGTACATGACGGCGTTGTGGAACATCAGCATGAGGTCGCGCTGGAACTGAGCCGTGCTCCGGATGCGGCCCTTGGACAGACTTCTCTTTATGGTGGTTAAATCCATGGGTCTGCAGGGGATGGGGAGGAGCGAGACCCCCATCAAGCATCACAACACAGGGCCCCCCAGCCCCGACACCGCCGCCTCCGTCCTGTCTCCCCGTGACCCTGCACGCACAGCAGTTCTTCACCCAGCTCTCAAGTCGGGAACCTCAAAAACCAGGAGGGTTTCGCCTTGTGATAGATACCTGCCACAAGCACTGTGCGCTGGCAACTGCTTCTAAAAACTGAGCAGCACTGAGCGTCAGACAAAGCAGCAACCTGAACAACTAGTTAAATCAGCCCAGTGAGGGGAAAAATGAAACATTAGTAAAAAAGATCTTAAGGAACTAGGATGTACAGCGTGTATACAACACGGCGCTCTCGGGGCAATAATGCACTGCCAGAAGCAAGGAACGGTCTGGGGGCGGGGGAGACGGTCAGTGGGGAAAGCTGCAGCCGAGCGCGCGTAGCTCGGTGAGCTACTGGGGCTGGCTGCTCAGGTTCCTGCCGCAGACCAAACAGCCCTGTCCCCCAGGGGAAGCGGCTGATTCCTGAGGGGGTCGCAAGGTGGAGCGCAAGTCAGGAACATAACAGTCGCCAAACACCTAAGGGTGCAAATCTGAAGGATGGAGTCAGAGGAGTCCGTGTGGCTGTTAGGGGCATGTTATAAATAAGGAAACTGGGTCTTTGGGACAAAAATCCCCTCGGGAGAACGGGGCCGGGCAGGGTGGAAGCCCCGTAACACAGGGCTAACCCCAGGAGTGTAAGCCACGGAGGGCCTTCCCGCCCCAGGCTGAGGGGGCAGGTACCCTCTGACAAGCCTGGGGCAGGTTTGCTAACCCAGCCGCCTTGGACTTCCCCTCTCTGGCAGCTGGATCCAATGAGGCCAGAGAAAGCAGGTGGAAAGGGTCTCAAGCAGCTCTCCTGCCTTCTCCCAACTGACCTTTTCACCACATCCTTGTACCCAGGGGCTTGCTTGTCTGACACTGGCTTCAGGAACGGGCCGCTGTATCTAGGGGACAAGCCCAAAGAGAATGAGGCGAGATCCAGGTCTGCCCTGGCTGGCAGCTGACTCCCAAAGAGGCAGTGGGCTGTGGGCAGTGACACACCGTTGCTTGAATGGGCTCATCTGCCTGCCAGTGGCCCCTGGTGACAGTGGCTGGTGCAGCCAGCACCAGCAGAGGAAAGTCTGAGACCCTGCTGGGGCTGGCTGAAGCCAGACTTAGCCCTCCACATCCTGCACAGACCAGCGGCTGCCAAACAAAGTAATAAGAATGGAGGTGCAAGGCCAGAGCCCTGGAGCAAGGACCCCTTCCTGCTGCAAGGTAGGCAACATGAGAGAGGAATGCAGGAGAAACGGTTGGATTGCTGGTGCCTTCAAGCAAGAGGGGGCGCTGATGGCACTGGGGAGCCAGGGAGAGCATGGACCCACCCCACGCCACCCTCCATACACACCTGTGACTGGCTATCATCTTCCAGATGGACAGCAGAGTCTTTTTGAAATGCATGCGCTGCAGAGGGTCATCCCAGCTCAGCTGCACCCTGCACAAGACACCACCCAGTCAGCATGCCTGAAGGTTCAGGGAGAGGCCTACACTGCTAACCTCCCAGCATGTGTGGCCAGGGATGTACAGGGCAGGTGCCCCATGGGGCAGCATTTCCCAGTGCACTCCTTCCTGAGGTCTCTTTGGAGACCCTCCCTTAGGATTTGCCTGTGCCCATGACCCAAGTCTACCCTGTCTGGGACCACCTCTCTGGCTGCTGAGCCAGAAGGCATCAGAACCAGGAGAACAGTCGCTGCACTCTGGCAGGAGACTTTTGAACAGGGTCTGTCTTCTCTCTGTTGGGAGTGAAGGGTGTCCTCATTTCTGCTGCACCTTTCTTGGTTCATCTCCTGACCCTCCTCGCCCACACACCACCCAAGGGAGAATCTGCAAATGAATGGCCTGTTTCTTGAAGAGCATTTGGGTCCCAGTGCAGGGAGTGGGGAGGCCGGCTCCACTGCTCAGTGTACCATATGCTCCCCTCAGGACTGCCTGGCACAGCAGGTCCCCAGCTCAGGCTAGGCCACGGTCACTTTGTCCCCACTCCCCTTTTGCTGCACCTGCAGTAGAACCAACACCCAAAGGTTGGAAGCCCATCACCAGCAGCGACCGGGGCCATCTCTTCCTCCACTTTCTGCTGGCTTGCCACCCTCCCCAAAGTGACCTGCCCCCTGCCAATCCCTGGCGTGGCCTCACATAGACAGCTCCAGTGAAGGTGCCACAGGGCTGCACTACTCACAGCTGCGAAGGTGCTGGGTTCATGTGTATAACATCTGCCGGGGAACCCGCGGAGGTTCTGCAGCCGCTATCTCCTTGTGCAGGGAATACGGTGTTCCCCTGCTTCTCCTGCTGGGCTTGTCCTGGCCCCTCCTCAGCCTTGCCCTGGAGGACAGACAGAGAGGAGCGGTTGCTCAAAGCCAGGGTCTCAATGACAAGGTTGCTGGAAAAGCCCCATCCAGAGGTGGCACTTGCAGGAGCCAACCTTCAAATCCTGGTCCCCAATCTCCAGGAAGTGGGTGTAGCAAGTGGGTACACAAGGAGCACCCCCAGTCCTGGCTGAGGTGCCGTAAGTTGTGCCATGAGCCACAGGTCTCACTGTGGATCTGACAGTCACCTTCAGTCTCCAGTGGGGATCGACAGCCCACCACTAGCATTACGAGGGAGGCTGTGGACACGCCGCAGGTAGAGACCGGGAGGAGACAGCAGAGTAACAGAGAAAGCTGAGAGAATGCAGACAGAGGATGGAATGTGATTGTTCCCTCACAAGCTCCTTGTGACAGAGCAACAGTGAATGGAGCCTGCCAGGGGGTGCTGAGCAGTGCTGCTGCAACAGCCACTTCTCCGTGGAGCACAGGGACCATGGCTGTGTAGGACAACCCTTCTGCCTGGATGGCAAGCAGCACTGAGAGAAGAGAGAGCTTCCCAGTGTCCAGGACAGGGAACTGCCTAGGGCAAGTGGGTAAAGAAAGCCCCAGAGAGTGGAGGAAATTTGTTCTGCAGGACTTTGAAAACTGGGTGGGTTCTAATGCTCCATGGTCCAAGACAAGGCTGCCCTGGCTCTGTAGAAGCAGGGGAGCCCCACAGGAATTTTTCGTCCCTAATGTCTGATTCTGTGACATGGTAAAGCAAAGAGCCTGGCCCCAGGGAGCAAGGGATTGTCCTGCTGTATCTATCATCGCTGTTACTCAGGGTATGGTACTACCTAGAGGGGCGCCACTGAGATCACGGCTTCCTTGGACCGGGCACTGCGGACAGTGAAGAGCTTGCCCCCACTTTAAATATGTAAGACAGAAGTGAAGGGCCATTATCCCAGGGGATGGGTGGATAGATTGAGACCAAAAGAAATTAAATGATTGCTCAAGATCACAAAAGCACTCTAAAATGAGAACCCAGACCTCCAGGGTCCCCGTCCACCACTTCTCAGCAAGGCCAGGACTCCAGCTGCCCGTGTGCATTTACCTTCATACTGCCTGAAAGTTCCTCCTCTAAGGTAGGCATCCCCAGGGAAGTCAGATTCATGAGCAGCATCTGGTTCTTCTCTCCCTCCTGTATTCCTTCTGCATTCTCCACCACAGCCAGGCACTCCTTCTCCTCTCCTGAATCCCCTTCCTCTCCTCCTGGGACCTGGGACTCTCCTGTCTCCTCTCCTACACCTTGTGTTTCCTTTGCATCTTTGGCCTCCCAGCCCATGTGCTGTAGATCCCCTGTCATCTGTGGCATGCACACACCTCTTCCTGGGACAGGCAGTTCCTCAGCTTCTCCTGCCAGAATTCGTGGCTGCCCTTCCTCCTCTGCCTCTCTTCTTGGGACTGGGAGCCTCTCCATCTCTTCCTGGCAGTTGAGGGCTTCCATTTCTTCCTTCTCCCTAGCAGTACAAAAAGCCCTGTCCATCTGTGCTGAGTCTGAGCCACTTATGCAGAGAGGTTCCATCAAGTTGGTCACCTGTAACAGAGCACTTTATTACTAATGTCAAACTGCGACAGGACAAGAGACTGGGACAAGCAGTTGGGAGCACAAGCCCTGGGGGGCTACTGCATTACAGTAACAATTGCTGTTACACCACAGGGAGATTTGCAACAGCTTGTTACAGCAGACTTCCTAAAGGGCAGTTCCACAGCATGGTCCAGTTGGGAACCCCAAGGAATAAGCTATTACTCCCCACAGAGCCTTTAAGCAAGGAAAATGTCTGGGCTTCCCCCGCAAATAAAACTGTTCATCTAACAGCCCCCCAGGGGTGTCTGTTGCTCCACCCCAAGTACTTTGTGGCAGGATGACATGCTCAGAGCACCGGCATTTTAGAGGGCTGTGTCACGCAGACTCTCCCACTCACACCAGCAGCTCTGCCTCGGAAAGGGACTGCAGAAGGCTGTCCTGCTCACACCGCCCTGCCACCTTCAGCAGCAATTCCCATATCAGAGGCTCACAGGACTGCACCCTGCGAGCCTCCTCCTGGCTGCTTCCCTCAAGCTCCCCGCAACAGCCGTCTCCTCAGTCTTCCTCCAGCTCCTCACCTCCAGATCCAAGTTGGAATCCCAGGAGCTGTGAAGAGACTGGCAGCAGCTGCTCTTCTCAGACTCACTAAGAGACTCCCTCTCAGAATCCAACCACATCCGTGTGTGTCCCATCTGCAAACAGACAGAGACACTGTCAGGAGCTGACAAACGAGTCCAAAGCCGCACACACTCCATTGCTCATGGTCACACTGTGGAAGCCTAAAAGGGGAAGAGACACTCCCGAGCCCACATTCCATAATGTGCTTTTCACTGGTGCAGTCAAGGCTCCAGCTGCAGCAGAGAAACAGTCTTTTCTGAGCAATTCAACCCTGTGCTTCACCTTGGGGGGATTTCACCACTCAGCTTAGGGAGAACCTGACAGGATGAAGTTTAAATGCAGCCAACACAGCAGGGCTGTATTTGGTAGCCATGCTGGTCTGAGACAAAAAGAAATGCAGAACTCTAGAACTCTTGGTTCAGAGATTATACCTTTTATTAGCCCGACTAAGAAATCACAAAACTCCCATGATGGATTTACTCACTGTGGGCAGGTCTACAGGAGATGCTAAAAGCACAGTAGACTAATTCTGTGCATTAGCGCATCACGGCTAAAGCCGTGCTAATGTACAGTAAATTAGTCTACTGCACACTAGCATCACGTAAAAGATGTGTGCTGGCATTACTGTGCAGTAGCACCCATTACAGCACATTTAGTGATTACAGGTACTAAACTTAATGTGGCGCATTAATGCATGTGTAGACGTGCCCCGTGACTAACATGACTGGTAAAAGAAAGCTCACCAAGAGGACCGCAGCTGCCAGGGTGCACTTGGCATTCTGAAGGCTCTGAATAGGCACCTGGCAGGGGTCATCTGACCCCAGCCCTCTTTCCTGCCTAGGCAGGTCAGACTCGGTGATCTGCTGAGGTCCCTTCTGACTAGAATCTATGAGCAACAAATGCCGAAGAAGCTATTTTAAGTGAAAGAAGTGATTGGGTAGATGTGCTGATGCAATGTGTCAGCCCTGGGGGAGAAAGTAGGGGACAGATGCCCTTAAAGACTTAACTGAATCAGAGATACATAAGCTTTTGTGATGTTATCTGTGGGAGTTCCATCAAAGGAAAAGCAACCAGCACCCTTCATCTGCAGCAGAGTTCTGCCTGCCTGCACTTTGCAGGACAAAAATGGAGCTATTTGGGGGGAAAAAAAGAGGCCACTTGTTCCAACTTCCTCAGTCAGACCTTGCTCTCCCATCAGGTGCAGATCCAGGATCGCTTCTGGGAAGTCTATGGAGCTGCTTCAGATTCATCCCAAGGCAACAGATAAGATTGAGCCTCAGGCTCATCAATCTAGAGGCCTTATAATACAGCTAGTATGTGACTGGGGTTCTATTAAAAAGGAACTTCCCTCACTAAACTCACATGAGCAGATCACATACCAAGGGAAAGCTATTGCTAGGCAGATAGCAGTGGCAGCTTTAGCAACCAAAATTGGTCAGGTGGGACTCAATGTTTTTTGGAGGCAGTGAGCAATTATAGCTCCCGTTGACTTCACCTGGCCCAATGCAAAACCGTAAGTCCACATGGATCCAGCTCCAGAATGCAATGAATTTTACTTTATCCAAATTAAAACCAGAAACGGCAACAGAAGCAGTATGTTCCTGAGACCTTCCTTCAAATTTCTTGCAACTGCAGCAGGTTGCATTAGGCTTATGGAACGACCATCACATAACCTTGGTGACTCCAAATGGCTCTAAGTCACATGGGACAACACTCCCTTTTCTCCACTTCCTGTCCTTAACAATCTAATCCCTGAAATGCAGAGACAGGCACAACTGGGTTAGTACTGCTGCATGGGGAGGAAGTTAATGTTACTACAGAAACCCTCGCTCTAAGATTTCCCGACCTTTGCATTTAAGAGCAGCATAGCACTATGAAAAGTCTGTTCTTTAACACATCTAAGATGTATATGCCTGCATGACAAAGGCCCATGAAAATGTCATTAGACATGATGCTGCTCCTCTCATTAAGGAGCATGTGTTGTGGGAAATTCAACAATCTGTAGGGCCTGGGGACTGAATCACTGCAGTCACACTAGAGCACACAGCATATGGGCTAATTTTTGACATTTTCATTTGGCTCCTCTACAAGCAGAGTAATTACTCCGAAGTGATGTCCACCTAAAATGTTGTACTAACATAACTTTAGCAGTATAATTAATTTGCTGCAGCTGTGCCAGTGAGTTTCCCCATGCAGATGGGCCCTACAATACCAATTCATAGATTTCATAGACATCAGGGCTGGAAGGGACCTCAGAAGATCATTGAGTCCAGCCCCCCACCCAAAGGGCAGGAAGTCAGCTGGGGTCATGGGATCCCAGCAAGATGAGCATCCAGTTTCATCTTGAAGGTGTTCAATGAAGGCGCTTGAACCACAATCAATGTTCTGATTAAAAATTTGCTGTAAACAGCATCAATAATTTACTCAAATGGATTAAGAAATGGATAAGATTTTAAAAAACCAAGCTGTAATGGAAATATTTAGTGAGGTTCTACTGAATTCATTAGGCCAATTCTATTTGATCATTGCTGGTAAAGTTCATAGATGAAACAAAGGTGGTAAATGAGGCAGCAGCTGCCAAAAGAATCTGGATCACTTGTGAGCTGTGTCCATTCAAAGAGAATGTTTGAATTCAGCTACATCTAAGATCACTTCTTGGCACAAAGCAAGCAGGCCATGCCTCCTGAGTGAGGACTGACCCTGAGGACAGCCCCTAGGAGGATTTAAACATCACAGTGAACAACAGCAGGAGTCCCAATTGCAGCACTGTGGCAAAGGGGCCAACTCTTCGAAGTACAAACGAGGGAGCAGCAAGGAGGAAGGGGAGCAGGGTTTCAGTCAGACCCATGCTGGAGTGCTGCTCAGAGTTGTGACTTCCACCTTTTAAAAAGGAGGTTAAACTGGAGAATGTGCAAAAGACACAAAAATGATTTGATGCTTAGAAAACATTGCCTAGCAGAAAATGAGACAGAGAGCTCAACATCTCATTTATAAAAGGACTGTCAGGAAATGTCTTTACACTCCAAGTTACTTCACTGAAGAAAATAAAATCAGGTATTGAAGAGTTCTTCATTAGCAGAGATACAGCTGAAACCAGAAAAAACACATTATAGATAAAGCACAAACTTTTAACACAGCAAATTATCCACTAGAACAAACAATCAAGCAAAAGTGGCAGTTTCCCCATCTCTTGATGTCTTCAAATCTTACCTGGCTGGCCTTCTGGAAAATACGCTTTAGCCAAACAAAGCACTGGGCTCAATGCAGAATTAACCGAGTGAGATGTAACAGCCTGTGTGACACCAGAGGTCAGCCTAGACGACTCAGTGGTGCCTCAGGCCCTCTGACTAGGAATCTGCTTTGGGCACATGGCTCCGAGGGCTGAACCAGGCTAGCTATGGGGCTGGAAGGGACCTCAGAAGATCGAGTCCAGCCCCCTTGCCTACTGCCAAAAACAGTACAAACAAAACTTTTTTTTCCCCCCAAATGACAGCAGTTCTGCCCTCTGAGATCAGACGAAGCGAAAAGGGGCCTTGAGAACTGTGGCAGTGAGAGCACTGTGTCTCAGTTAAGCCTGCATATACAAGAATGGGACATTCAACACACGGAAGAACTCCTGCTAGTAGAGGGTAGTGGTGTACTCAGT